AAGTTCTGAAGCAGATCTCTTGGCATCACCACTATCAAACTTTCCTTAAAATATTAATGACATTTTACCACTCAAATATTCCCGTTCCTGATCCTTGCCAAATGTTGTACTTCCTATAATAATAGGAGAGAAAACGAAATAGTTATATACAAAAAAAATGGTTTCTTTGGGACTTCTCTATGGAACTGAATTCTGACTTAATAATTACCTTCTTGTTTGTATATCTAAATTGCTATTTTTCAATTCTGCTCCGGCTTGAAATACCACTAAATTTCAGGCTCCTTTAGGAAAAGAAAGACTGATGTAACATGTTGACCCTCCCCCCTTTCTCTTAAAATATCAATAATATTTAAAGTAAGAGAGAGATATGGCAGGCTTATGGATAGGTAAGGATAGCCAAGTCTAATCTTTGAAGAGCTTCAATTCATGGTAGACACTGTTGACTACTAATGATCATGATGTACAAATAATTAAAGCCTCTGTGAAATCTGTCCTTTTGATGTGGGTGGCAACTCTACTAGTCTGGCTGCTAGTGCTGCTCCCTCACATGGGGTGCAAAACTCACATATGCAGCATTCTTCATCTATATCCACCATCTCACAAGTCTCATCAGCCAGGAGATCTTATGGTTGGAGCCATTTCTTCTCAACTTGCTCCCATCTCGGATGAAGTCACCTTCGAAGAATACCCCCCACCAGTACTACAGCATTTGTAAGGAACAAATTACTGCTATTGTTTTATATTTTATACATTTCTAATGTCTGAAATAATGCATCATGTCACTGTCATCAAAGAATAATAGATGATTGACTGGAGTTAATATCAGTAGATGCTAACAAACATGCTCTTTTCTCAACCACGAGACATAATTTGTGGACTTATGGTGAATGGAGAAGCCCATCTATGTGGTGATGCTCAATGTTTAAATCACACTTCCCAAATCAGGGCATCGTCACATGGATGGGATTCCAATCTTCCATTATTCTCCACTATTGCCATCTGATTGGAGAGTACTTTGTGCTGACAAACACTCAGCTAAGCATTACACAGATTAAGGAATGTTGATTTAAAGTTCTTTTATTTTTTTTCTTCATTGTCTTCCTGAATAAGCAAGTTCATTGTTGCCTTATATCTAAACAATAACCCATCAAATTCTAATCCATAACACAGTCATGTCCCTGACTCAAAAGGAAAATTATTCAAAGAATGTCAAACAAAGGGCCTGACTCTTTGCCAAATATCTGACTATATTTCTTTTGGGAAGACAAAAAACATACATGATATATGTGGATTCCAGACATTCACTATGCCCTGTGTTTGAAATTCTTTGCACAAGTTTCCTTTTGAAATGTCTGTGTTATGCATATATTAATTCAGATACAGAAGGGACATCATTTATACTAACAGAGATATGAGACAACTTGGTGAAACTACCTACTGAATTTACTTATTTGTATAACTACTGATTAGAATATAAGAACTGGTAAAATATACTTCTGACATGCAACTCTCATTGTAGTGGTGTTTCAAACAATTACCAGCACATCCTGGCTTTGGCATTTGCAGTAAAGGAAATCAATGAAAACACGCAAATCCTATCCAATCTCACCCTTGGCTTCAATATTTATGATAGTTATAACAATGCTCAAAAAACTTATCACACCACTATGCTACTACTATCAGCAATTGAGAGACTGGTCTCCAACTATCTATGTAACATCCAGAATGTCATAAGTATTATTGGAGGACTGGATGCACAAATCTCCTTTTTTGTGGCTACTATTGTAGATATCTATAAGATTCCACAGGTAAGACATCCATATAAATTTCATGCTAGTTTTATTGTCCTATTTTCACAAGACAATTTAATATTGCAATTTTAAGTATACTCAAGTAGCACAGATGAAAAAAAACTTCTGAAAATTCTAGAATCAAATATTGAGAAAGTGATCCATTTGTTACACAACATTACATCATTTATATGGAACTAAATCCCTTGAACCTAGCAGAAAGTACTGTATATAACAAGACATATGAGTTTTCTTATTACTTCTCTAACTTCTGTAGGATTCCAAAATTCAATCCAAAATTGTTGGGTGGTTCTAAACAACCGCCTTTCTGGGACTAAAATGCTATATAATGTTTGTAGTTCAGTGACTTGTCCAAAACTCAGACTTTACTTTAAGCAAAATAAATAGCCTAAATCATGCATCAAATTTAGCAATAATATAGTTCATATTTATGGATGTAACATGTTTATAAACTTTGTAACTGGGATTTGTTAATCTAAATTTACCTTTAAGTATGTAGCATAAACTCAGCAATGAGATAAAAGTGAAATCAGTATGAGACATAACTCTCAAAAACTTATGATTCACTATTACCAAAGCAACCAATTTGCAAATTAATGTACATTGATATTAGCATGGTTTTCATTGATAAATTCTAAGATAAATTCAACCACCTATCTTGTTTACCTTAATCTAGATGAATCAAACCACTAAATATAGATATAATTTCACTAAACTCATACCATTACGAGAAACTATTGTTGCAGAAAAATGTATAACTATAAATTTTAATTATATATTAATAACCAACAATCCTCAATTACATATAAAATTTACAAAATAGTAACAACTGTTTGTGAACTGATTTCCAAATGTCCCTTCATATAGAAATTAAACAATGATATTACCCATCCCCTAGCAGCTACTGCTTCATTTAAATGAGGTCAGATTCTATAATATTCTATTAGAAATTCCTCCTGATTAATAGCAACACTGAAATGCAATTCAACAAACTTCCAACAACTTCCATGCCATTGTGACTTCTAGAATTACAAATTTCAGGAATAGAAATTCAAAGAATTTTTCAATATGGCAAGCAAAATTCTTTTAAAGCATTGGTAGAAGATGAATAATTAAATATATGTTGATTACTATGAACACTTAAACGTGTTACCTAGATGCTGCTCTTATCTTTTTTCTTCTGCTTCTCTCTAGCTCATTTATGGCTCTGCTCCAATAATGAATGATAAAACTCCAGGCCTTTCCTTTTATCAGATGGTTCCTCCAGACGAACTTCAGCATAATGGGATTGTCTCTCTGCTGCTGCATTTTAACTGGACATGGATTGGAATCCTTATTGTGGACAATGAGCACAGCGAAAAATTTCTAAAAACAGCTATTCCTCTTTTTTCCAAAAATGGTATTTGCATCTCTTTCATTGGACATTTTCTCAGAGTAACAGATGTCATTAAGATTGATGGGGTGCTTCAACAGGGGGCAAAAATGTATGATCAAATTATGGATAGTAAGGCAAATGCAGTGGTGTATAATGGAGAATCTTTTGCAATGGGAAATTTGTTATGGCTTCAGTATATTCCAAATCTAGAAGAGGTGAAAAGTAAACCAAAAGGTATTGTTTGGATTATGACTGCACAGATGGAGTTCAGTTTAACCCCTCTTCAACGTACTTTTGATCTCAAAATAATAGATGGTGCCCTTTCCTTCACCATGCATTCCACTCCTTTACCAGAGTTCAAATCATTTGCTGAAAAACAAAATCCCTTTGGCACAAAGAAAGATGGATTTCTCAGACAGTTCTGGCAAGAAGCCTTTGACTGTGCATTCCCAGATCCAACTCTGACTAATGAGCATGAAAATATTTGCAATGGAAAAGAGAATTTGGGGAGCCTTCCAGGACCTTTTTTGAAATGGAGATGACTGGCCACAGCTACAGTGTCTACAATGCCATTTATGCCATAGCTCATGCTTCACATTCTCTGTTCTCCTCTAGAAATACTGAGAGATCAATGGTGGCTAGAATAGGAAGGAAGATTCCTCATCAAGACTTCTGGCAGGTAATAGCCTCATTAGGCAGAATAATATGACTCTAAGGTTGATGGGAAACCTGAATCATTATTTGGGTTGACTTCCCACACAGAGTTTCTGGTGCTTTTTGAGATTGGTTGTTTTCTGGCAGGGGTTTCATTATCCAGTTAGGTAACATCATCAATGCTAAAAGGAGTGGGATCTAACAGAAAGCTATTCCCCATGAATATTTGTTTTCCTGTGTCTTTTTTCCCCCAAAATTTTATACTTTATTAAATATACTTGCCCAAAACAAACTATTCATTTTCTTCACTGCGCAGTCTGGCATTTGTACTGGTAACATTGATAGCAAGTTGAGCTCCCCAATTATCATCCTGCTCTTTGATAAAACATTATGAGCAATTTCTGTGCAAAATGACTAGTTACTCATCTTTAGCACCTCCAGTTTATTGACATTATGAACAAGAAACTTCTGGAATCCCGAGGGCAGAATTTGTTCTGTTTTCTTATTGCTCCTATAGCCAATATTGGGCATCAACATCTGGCCTTTAAATCTTCTGCAAACTCTGTTGTCAATACTTCTTGGTTTGTGCCAGTTATGCTTGATTTTGACATAGCGATCAGATTGATGACCAATGATTTTCTTGGTCCTCTTTTTGAGGACCTATATCTTTTTAGCTAGCTTACTTGTGAACATCTTTAATTTGGTAAAGATTTTTTCCATTAAGCAATATATTGAGGGGGAGGTATCAATTCCTTTCATTTATTTCATTTTTCACCAAAAAATAATCTCCTCTTACTGATTATTTTAATTCATATCCTTGGTTTCAATTTTCTCTTTAATTGAAATACTGTCAGTACAAAAATGCATAGAATGCAAAATTCTGATTTTCTGATCTAAATATTATCACCAGGGGGACTAGCAATTTAGTCTCCCTAAAGTGTTACCTTTTCCTTTCAATTTAGCTCCACTACTTTCTGAGAAATGTTGCTTTTAACAATGGTGCTGAGGAACAGGTTTCCTTTGATCAGAATGGGATTGTAGCAGCTGGCTTTGATATTATCAACTTGATGACTTTCCCAAACAATTCGTTTCTTCATGTGAAAGTTGGAAATGTGGACCATTCAGCTCCTCCAGATAAAATATTAACCATCAACGATGAGATGATTACATGGCATAGCTGGTTTAACCAGGTAGGTTTAATTATTGTCCTTGATTCTGAATAAAGCAGGCTTTCTCTAATTTGATATGTAACTTCATCATATTGGAAAAAAGGACATTATTACATAAAGTTATCTCCCTGTAACTAACCAGCAGCATATTGTCATATCTGAATATTTGTAAGCATGATCCATTAACAGTTTTTAAGTAAAAGTAGGGCATCATTACTTCTTCATATAATATAGTTATATAATAAAATATTTAAGCAATATTTGTCTCAGCTCACCATAGGCCTATGCTAAACTTATTATTCAGTCCAGATTTTTCTTTCTTTTCTGATCTCATGATTTCACTTGTTTCTTTTAAAACATTTATTTTTAACATATTTAATTGAGATTTATATTATTGCTTTTACAATGTAAACCTCTTTCCCAAATTATTGTTTCTATTCCTAAACTGGAAAGATGCCCGTGCCATATTTGTATCACTTCAAATGTGGACACTTGACCAAAAGCATCCATGTGCATAAGTTTCATCTTTAATTACCAGGTGATACCTGTTTCTGTCTGCAGTGAGAGCTGTTATCCTGGTTATAACAAAAAAGTGAAGGAGGGAGAGCCATTTTGCTGTTATGACTGCCTCCCATGCCCAGTGGGGAGAGTTTCAACTGAGAATGGTAAGAGATATTCATCTACTAATTAACATATTTTCATTAAATTCAACATGGTGTGGGATGAATAATTTCTGCTTTCTGGAATATTCTGGCATAAATTTATCCTTACTTTTGATAGTAATGATAAAGAAATTAAGTTATCAGATCTTTGTTGACACCTGTAAGAGATTTCATGTTGCAAAGAAGGATGAAGAAGAATGAAACAAGGCAGGGAGTGTGGAGCCACATCCCTTTATTAACCTTCTTTCCAACTCTATTCTCCACTGCGTATGTAGGACAACCAAAACAGTCTGTGGGACTTTAGTAAAAAAAATAGTTCAGATTTTCCAACCTCTCACAAAACAAAAATATCTCACAAAGTTGGAAGGTCCGAACTATTTTTTTTTACTGTGGTCACACAGACTACTGGTATTTTTCTTGCCCTGCATGTGGCAGTGGAGAACAGAGCTGGAAAGTGAAGAGATGTGGCGTGCGTGTGGAGAGAGAGAAAGAGCACACATCACCACCAGCCATGGATAACCTGGGTAACGAGATTAGATCAGATATCACGCGCACACGCGCCCGCGCACATACACACACACACACACCTGCTTTCCAGCTCCATTCTCAGCTGCACAGGCAGAGCAAGAAAACTACCATTGGTCTGTGGGACTACAGTAAAAAAAATAGTTCAGACCTTCCAACTTCTCATGAAAAAAAAAAGATCTTGCGAACTTAGAAGGTCTGGTTTTTTTACCATAGTCCCACAGATTACCAGTACTTTTCTTGCCCTATATGTGGCAGCAGAAAACAGAGCCATTAAGCAGGTTAGTGAAGGGATGTGGCTGCCCTTGTGGGGTAAGGACATGAGGTAGCGTTGATCCTATGTGCACTCACTGCCTCTTGCGCTGGTCACCCCCATCCTCCAGCCTTATATTCAGGATAGGACTTATTTTCAGGATGGGTCTTATTTTTGGGGAAGCATGGTACTGATTTTTTTCTAAAGAAAACTATACAATAATTAATACATTTTGATTCAATTCAACATGATTTGGATATGGAGAACATGCTTTCCAAATCTGAAGATTAATCATTTCTGCTCTCTGGAATTGTCAATACAAACTGATCATTAATTTTCAGTGATAATGATGACTTAATTAAGTTATCAAATCTTCATTTACACCAGGGGTGGGTTGCTGCCGGTTTTACTACTGGTTCGTAACCTGAAAGTGCATCAGATGCGTGCTGCATGCGCTGTTCAATGTAAATTGTTCTTTGTACATATGTAGAACAATTTACAATGAACTGCACATGCGCAGTCACTAAAAACCAAAATGCAGGCGGCCCAGAAGCAGCGAGGGAACCACTTTGGGAGTGTGGCAGGCCTGGGTAGCTGCCAGTTCTGAGATCCAGGCCTGAATTCCACTACCAGTTCAGCCAAACTGGGCCAAACCATGACCAACCCACCTCTGATTAACACTCTAAAAACTATCATCAAGTCACATATGAAGCATTATTGCAATTGTGTATCTATTATGAACACTATTAAACCCTTTTCCCCCTTCTTTTACTGTCCAGTTCTGTTAGGGTACAATTCCTGTCATATCCATTTAATATTTAAAAAAAATAACTGAAGTCCAATAGCTCTGGAGTATAAGAAAGTTCAAGAGGAGCTATCACAGAACTTTAGTCATTTTGCTCCTACAACTTTCAGTCAACTAATTTAGAAAACAAGCTAGAAGAAGTGTACAGTGCATGCTTTTACACTTTTTTCCATTTTTTTTTCTGAAAATAGTTTCAAGTCAGAAGACATGGGCAAGGAGTTATCCTTATTCTGGCTTGCTTCCCCACTGCATCTTCCTTAGTGGTGAATTGAATGAATTTATAGCCTAATCCACAGTCCCTTTTTAAGCTGGATCTTCCTTTTTGTATCTTAACACCAAAATGAGACTCATTTTGTGGAGTTTTCAGATATATATCTTGCTCAGGACAGGAGCAAAGAATCCTGAGTTCTTTTATTTGGTTTTTTTCTTCTCCTAATCACTTTCCATTGGATTTTAAAGAATTAAAAGAAAAATATTTTAAAAGTTTCCTTTTGTTTTGACTTACATATGGAATTTTTCAGAAGTAACTTGTACCATGAAGTGTTTTATAATCAAACAACAGCTGTTTATCACAAATAAATGAGAATTATTCATACCTATGTAGGAAGAGTGAAAGAATAAGACCTAACATTTTTAAACTGGTGAGAGCTCAGGAGAGAAAACACAAAGTATTTCATATGGTTCCCAAGCTCTATGTAACTTAAATTTATTTAAGTAAAAACAATGTTATTTTAAAATGTATTAAAATAAATATACAATATATAGCTAATCTATTAAAGCCCCTATTTTAGGTGATATAGTCTATCTTAGCCACCTTTATCATTTATTGTTTACTTGGTATCAGTAATATGTTTTCTTTTGGTATTTGTTGGCTTTGACATTTCTTCTTTCTTTTATGTCACCAAGACTGTCATAGCTTCAGAAGAGTAGCCATCATTAAATAAAGAAATATAAATATTGGCAAATGGGTCAGAGCACATGAACATCTATCATTGCTTCAGATTATAAACTTTTAATATCCACAGACTATCTGGAGAAAGGAGAGAGGGAGGGAGGGAAAGATAGACAGACAGATGGATAGATAGGTAGGTAGGTAGATAAATAGATGGTAGGTAGGTAGATAGGTAGATAGATAATATTGTTAATTGAAACAAAGTAATTACTATTAAATGAAATAAAACTTGCATGCCAATTAAATTTAGCAGGAATCATGGTAATTATATAAAGATTATCAAGAGATTTTTTTTTTGTAGAGATTTTATTAATATTTGTAGGCCGCCCTTTTCCCTGAGGGGACTCAGGGCGGCTCACATAAAATCAGGGAGGGGGAATACAAACATTAACATAGAGACATATAATAAAATAGTAAGCAACATACA